TTCTTGAAAACCCTGTATGCTCTAATATTCTCACATGTTTTTGTCAAGCTATGATGCGCAGTTCATGCTACAGACAATCACGCTGATGTTTACCACCATCAGTTTATCATCATGTATTTTTCATCACAGCTGAGTTTTGAATCATGTTTATAAATCGGTCAAAACATTTGACGCTCATTCATATCTATGCTGCTATGCTTAGTATGGGACCCATCACCATGATTTAAATACATTTACATATTATTTCAGATAATCAAAACTAAATAATTTATGTACTTTAATGCATGTAGTGTTTGTCTTTGGTGATTTGTTCGCTCTTGTGAGAATTTAAAATACAGGTCATTAAATTCTTAGTTCTTTGCATGACATCTGCGCCTGCTATTAAGAGACTATTTTTTATTAACCTTATTAATTTTTTTTTCAAAATTACACCCTAATGACCATCAATTTACTGAATTATTGCATGTTCACAATTCGATATAAAACTTTTAATTTTTTGGGAATTTCTTGAGTCAGTAAAAAATCACTTCTCATTTTTATATCCCTTGGGAGTTGCAGCAATGTTTGCAAAATATGTTCTCTGACTTTAAATCATGAGAATCATTATTTTATGGTTTGTAGTATTAAATAATTAACCTGACACCGTGTCCAATATTGTCTACTGTTGTCTCAACAGCTTGGAATTGAAACTCTTTCTCAAAATTCTTGGGAATTCACCATGAAATCAACTTTCAAGTAATTTTGACTGAAATATTAATTTCTGCTGTCACTATGCTACAATGGGCTTTTGTATGGCTTATCTGGAATTCTGTTGAATTCAATACTGCTTTTTTCAGTTTGCTGTTAATTCACAGTGTGAATAAAAGCCATGATTTTTGTTAAAGATCACATTGCAGTCAGCATTTTGAGTGTTGGGGTTATAATTCATGGGAGTTACTGTTTTGATATGGACATGATAAATCAAGTCTAATATGGTAACCTGAGCTGTATCATGATTGAGGTGAACTAACACGCTTGTCATTTTTGTCTGGGTACCACACATGGAAATTATAGGCCCACCATATTTGCCATATTATATTTATGTGATATGAAGTATTTGGTATTTTACAGACAGTATAAGGAGAATTTAATTGGTGACGTGAATGACTAACAAACTCATCATTTGTTTTATTCCTATTCATCTGAGAAATCAACTCTCAGAGACTATTCTTACTTACTGATGAGACTCGTATAAGGTTACAATGATGAAGAAATTTAAATAATTCACTCCTAAAATGTTTGAGTTACAGACTAGTTTTTTTTTTTTTTACAAGCAAATGTTATTATTAGAATTATGGCTGAATTATCATTTAATGAATGAATAAATAAATGACGTACCTTTGACCTAAAATGCGTCCACGTCTTGTTTAGTGTGGCCATTAGAGTCCATCAACATAAACCACTGCTTGGATCCTAAATTCTGTGAGAATTCCAGGTGTGTTCGCTTATTTGTGCCACTCAGTACTGAGTTATTATTAAACATTATCAGCTGATTCAGGTAAAAATACCATCCTGGTTGATATCAATTGCACTGGTAGGACTGTTCCTCACATGTCTCTCTTCTCCATGTTGATGTTGTGGACAATGCAGATCGTGGCAAAATAACCATGCCACGCAGCCAATGTCAGACAATTTCATCGATTCCTACTACTATTTAGTGTTCTACTTTTGTGAACTGAGTGGCCTTCATCATTCATATTAATTAGATTATTCCATTTCAGTGAAGGGGTAAAGGTGAGATGGCAATGAGGGGCGGGCGAAATGTAATTGCATATAGTTGATTCAATTTCATTAAATATTGAAAAACGTTGTAACTTAGCATGGCATTATGGTAAATGAGGTGAATCATAGTTTGGACTGTTTTTTTTTTCCCCATTCAATTTGACAGCACTGAATCTGAGATGTACTAATTACATTATTGCTGTTAAAAATAATGTTTTGTATTATTTCCAGAATAATCTATTGGGAGTTGCTTATTAATGCTATACTACATATTGGATATGTTTGGAAATACAACAAAATAATCAATTCTCAAAGTGATAATACAGTAAAAACAACATGACCATGATGAAATAATTTCATAAGCACAATTTTGCTTTTAATTAAATATCAAAATAAAATTATAAAATCTACAAGAGATGAATTGTAATTAATTTATGATTGATTTCCATGGAATTGTATTCCTATTTAATATATAATTGCAGGAAAGGTATTGGTTCAAGCCTAAAAACAGTCACAAATGAATACAGTGTACACAGAAAAATTTACTAATTGTGTTTTTGAACATTCAAGAAGTGAGAGGACTTCATGAATCAAATGGAACGCAGTAGATGTGTCTGGCGTGATAAATTATTTAAATTTAATGCTTTTATCCGGGATAATATCATTTCTTTGCAACTGTAATAAGTTTATACAAAATGTACTAAGTCTAATGCTGTTGGAATCGCAGTATAAAATTATTGAAATATTAGATTCATGCAAGTGATCCCATTGACAACATCAGTTTAAGAAAAAACAAATATATCAACATTGATTTTTAAGCAGATCTGCTATGTTGTCAATTGTTGTCTTGATTGTCAAAGCATATTTCTCTGTGTAATAAGGAGCAAATTATTGATTGAGTGTTGCAATGTGAAAACACTTCAATATTGCTACCTAATATAAAGCAATGTTTGTATATAAAGGAACCTCTACCTCTATTTTTAAGTTAACATAACAGTGCGTAAAATGTATTATGAAAAACTGTAATAATGTGTCTATCTCCTAAGGTTGTGAGAGACTAATTCTCACATCACGAGTGAAAACCGTGACATTTTATAGCAGAAATTTTGTGAAAACAAAAGCAGCAAAAATAAAATTTAAGCGAGTCTAATTAATTTTGAGTACTGGTAGTGAGTCTGATATCAAAGTTCTAAAACTAAATGTATTTGTGTCAGTATACATGTATATGCATTAATGATTTGATTTGAAGCATTAATTCCTACAAATGATTGTATTTTATATGTCTCTCTCCCTCTCTAATACATGTGTACATATCTGTAGTAAAGCAATTCTCATTATAAAATGTAATTGCTTTCTGATGAATTTGAGATCAGACTTGTAACAGATGTTCAAAATGTAAAAATAGAAATATCAAATTATGGTTCTTCTTTTATTCATAATAGCTTTGTGGAATTCAAAAAGAAATTAATCATAACTTGATTTGTATGCATTGTGCTGCACAATTCTGATTGTTTCAAGAAGATTCTGACTTGTATGCATGACAGACTACAACAATACTTTGATAGTCTTAGTGCTCGGAATATTTATTTCCCTTAAGCCAGTACATGTATATAGGAGCTGTGGAGAATTAAATCACAAGCAGAAAAACAAAACTGCTTTCTTTTTCTTTTCTTGAATAATTATTTAATTATAATTATACTAATTTACAATCATTGATAACCAATACAGTATTTTCTGTATTAGTAACACTAATTACATAAATGACAAAAGTGCATCTATGGATATATTTTAAATTATCCAGTATTCAATAAAACTGAGCTTTTACTGATGCACTTTTATTGTAGTTTACCATGTACAATAACTTTATCCATTATTCTTTTAATATTATTTGATTTATTAAAGTTATAAACTAAGTTGTTTATTGTTTTCACTACAATGAGTCTTGTCTGTGCTGTTTAAATTATACCTAGGATGCGCATTCAGTTAACCTCAGAAAATCCCATGTTCACTCAACATGATAGTAACATTTAATAAAATAGTCGTTCTATAATTTCTGATGGAACACATAATGGAAAGCACAGAAAATATGTTCTGACATTTTAGCGTATCTCAACACTTGTTTGTGAAAACATTGAACATCGGGTCAGACATTTTCCTATATCTCAACACTTGTATGTGAAAACATTGAACATACAAATGTAGGGTCAGACATTTTACAGTATCTCAACACTTGTATGTGAAAACATTGAACATAGGGTCAGACATTTTACAGTTTTTCAACACTTGTATGTTAAAACATTGAACATAGGGTCAGACATTTTACAGTATCTCAACACTTGTATGTGAAAACATTGAACAATAGGGTCAGACATTTTACAGTTTTTCAACACTTGTATGTTAAAACATTGAACATAGGGTCAGACATTTTACAGTATCTCAACACTTGTATGTGAAAACATTGAACATAGGTTCAGACATTTTACAGTATCTCAACACTTGTATGTGAAAACATTGAACATAGGGTCAGACATTTTACAGTATCTCAACACTTGTATGTGAAAACATTGAACATAGGGCCGTACATTTTATCATATCTCAACACTTGTATGTGAAAACATTGAACATAGGGTCAGACATTTTACAGTATCTCAACACTTGTATGTGAAAACATTGGACATAGGGTCAGACATTTTCCCATATCTCAACACTTGTATGTGAAAACATTGAACATAGGGTCAGACATTTTACCATATCTCAACACTTGTATGTGAAAATATTGAACATAGGGTCAGACATTTTACCATATCTCAACACTTGTATGTGAAAACATTGAACATAGGGTCAGACATTTTACCATATCTCAACACTTGTATGTGAAAATATTGAACATAGGGTCAGACATTTTACAGTACATGTATCTCAACACTTGTATATGAAAACATTGAACATAGGGTCAGACATAACTCATACATGTAGAACATTAAATGTAGTAACATACATTAATATATTTGTATATACACGTATGTATCAATTGAACATAAGGTAAGACATATATTCTGCAATATGTATCATACATAGTGCACATAGTACATAGAGGGACTGTGACATTATGTATCATATATTTGATACAGATAATTTCATCCTGCATTTTAATATTGCACTGTGCATGCAACTCATTGATTAACAGTAAATAGTTATTCAGGAACATCTTAATGGTGTGTAAATTGTGTTCGTTTCAGGTATATTCAAGCTGCAGCATCTCCCAAAGACATGATGATTTTAATTGATGTGTAAGTATGGCTTCTTTGACACTGTCACTCTAGTTTCATGGTCAGACATCTTGTTTAATGTGAGTTTATTGGAAAGGAGGTGGGTGTTGTGTACCTTGTTAAAGAAATGTTGGCATGTCTTATAGATCATTTTGCTCGAGAGCTCAATATGTTGAGACCAGTATTCCTGAATAATTAGATACTCGATAGATGGATTGCTTCATACTTAATCAAACACTGACAATGCTAGTGATTATAGAAAGCTCTCTTATGAAAAATTCGATAGAATTCTATAGAAGTTTTTCGTAAGGGCTTACAGTAGTCACACTACATAATTATGTGCGCCCCAACCCTTTCAATGCTATCATTTTCCCCACCAAATTTTGGTGGAACTTTTTCACATTTTAGAACAAATAGACATATTTTTCTGATTGCCTGCAGGTTTTAAGAAAAAAAAATGGAAAAATTTTGCAAATTTATTTTGTGAAAGGTGACTTGAAAGGTTAATGATAGTTTCCTTGCACAATTAGCACACAAGAAATATTGTTACAGGAAGAGGCTGTCTAATTTGCATGCACTGTACTTTTAATATCCTACGGCAATCAGATTTCAATCTGATTGGAATGCATATGGCATGCTTGTCATAAAAGTTTGAGTGGTTTGCATTGGTTTTTTATAGCATAATAGATTATAATCAACAGCAAGGTCAGAGTTGTTTAGTAATTTACATGTCATAAAAAATGGATTCAAACATATGGTTTATTCAGGTGAAAGCATTTTCTTTATAAAATCAGTGAAGTATTTACAGAATTTAGCTACTGTGTGCTGAGAACTGAACCAGCTGTTTACTTGTATGTAATTTCGCTTGCATGAATACTCGCTGTATTTTGGCAGCAACTAGTAACTTGCCACTTCAAGACCACAAGTCTTAGCAAGATCCTGTAAGTAGCCACTTGTAGACCACAGGTCTTGGCAACAACCAGTAGCTAGCCACTGGTGACCACATGTCTTGGCAGCAGCCAGTAGCTAGCCACTTGGAGACCACATGCCTTGGCAGCAACCAGGAGCTAGCCACTTGGAGATCACATGTCTTGACAGCAACCAGTAGCTAGCCACTTGGAGATCACATGTCTTGGCAGCAACCAGTAGCTAGCCACTTGGAGACCACATGTTTTGGCAGCAACCGGTAGCTAGCCACTGGTGACCACATGTCTTGGCAGCAGCCAGTAGCTAGCCACTTGGAGACCACATGTCTTGGCAGCAACCAGGAGCTAGCCACTTGGAGATCACATGGCTTGGCAGCAACCAGTAGCTAGCCACTTGGAGATCACATGTCTTGGCAGCAACCAGTAGCTAGCCACTTGGAGACCACATGTTTTGGCAGCAACCGGTAGCTAGCCACTTGGAGACCACATGTTTTGGCAGCAACCGGTAGCTCGCCACTTGGAGACCACATGTCTTGGCAGCAACCAGTAGCTAGCCACTTGGAGACCACATGTCTTGGAAGCAACCAGTAGCTAGCCACTTGGAGACCACAGGTCTTGACAGCAACAAGTAGCTAGCCACTTGGAGACCACAGGTCTTGACAGCAACCAGAAGCTAGCCACTTGGAGACCACATGTCTTTGCAGCAACCACTAACTTGAACCACTGGCAGACCACATGGTCATGGTGGCAACCAGTACCTAACCACTTGCAGACCGTATATCTTGGCAGCAACCAGTAACTACCCACTTGAAGACCATGTCTTGGTAGCAACCAGTAACTAGCCACTTGGAGACTACATATCTTGGCAGCAACAACCAGTAGCTAGCCACTTGCAGACCACATATCTTGGCAGCAACCAGTAACTAGCCACTTGGAGACTACATATCTTGGCAGCAACAACCAGTAGCTTGCCACTTGGAGACTACATATCTTGGCAGCAACAACCAGTAGCTAGCCACTTGCAGACCACATATCTTGGCAGCAACCAGTAACTAGCCACTTGGAGACTACATATCTTGGCAGCAACAACCAGTAGCTTGCCACTTGGAGACTACATATCTTGGCAGCAACAACCAGTAGCTAGCCACTTGCAGACCACATATCTTGGCAGCAACCAGTAACTAGCCACTTGCAGACTACATGTCTGGATGATACGTGTACCTCTTGTTGTCTTCACTGATTTCCAAAAACACTACATTGATTGGACATCATGAATCATTCCTTTTCACATGACAGTCTTTCATCCAAATAAAATGGCATTCTAAAAAATGAGAAACTCACAATGAGTTTAATGTGTACATGTAGTGTGTATAACTATAGGAGTATGAGCTGAGATTGTGAGAAAATAATATTAGGCTTGATCCTAGTGTAAATCAAGTCTTCGTATGTTTTTATTTCACAGCTATCTTTCCAATGTGTCAATTACTTGTGATATTACCTGATTACTAAATGAGTAGCTTGGTCATATGTTATAAAGAATACATGTATCTGAGTAATACTTGATAAGATTTAGAGATAGAAATGCAATAATAAAAAAACTTGTAGTTGTAACAAATTGTATGATTTTAGTGTAATACATTTTCATAGTTGCATGCCATTTAATGCTTGTTAGACGTCATGTCTCTTGTGACTAGTTTTATTCCATTTGATTCCTTGCTATTAGACTTGGTCAGATCACAGCTTCTACTCCTTTCTAGTTATTAAGCATTGGCTCAGCTGTGAGGTGTTTCATGCACAATGAGTTTCTAATAGCTCTTGGATATATGTATTAAACTTCATTAAATTTGTATGAATCTTTCGGTTGACTGTGGAACACTTTGTATGCTGAGTTAGGGATAGATGATACTTTGGTAATCATAGTGATATGGGCTTACTCAGTCTTGCATGACTTATTTCTTAACATACATGTACCAGTTTTAAAGGAACTACAAAAATGTTGTGGAGGTTGCTTGGCATTGTGTAATTAGAGGGGATGGGTAGCATAGATAATTCGGTTTGAAAAAAACCACCAATAATTAAAAATAACTGGCCACTTTGAAACCACTGGTCTTGATGGAAGCAAGTCTTGGCAGCAACATGTAACTAGCTACTTGCAGACCCTATGTCTAACTATTTGCATATCACATGTCTTGGCAGCAACCAGAAACTAACCACTTGGAGACCACAGGTCTTGGCAGAAATCAGTAACTATCCACTTTGAGACCACAAGTCTTGGCAGAAATCAGTAACTAGCCACTTGGAGACCACAGGTCTTGGCAGAAATCAGTAACTAGCCACTTGGAGACCACAGGTCTTGGAAGAAACCAGTAGCTAGCCACTTGGAGACCACAGGTCTAGGCAGAAACCAGTAGCTAGCCACTTGGAGACCACAGGTCTTGGCAGGAACCAATAACTAGCCACTTGGAGACCACAGGTCTTGGCAGAAATCAGTAACTAGTCACTTGGAGACCACATGTCTTGGCAGGAACCAATAACTAGCTACAATGTACTTGCAGACTACAGGTCTTAGCAGCAGTGACATGCAACTATGGCCACTTAGAATAAAACTACTACAATACCGAGTTGTAATATTGCAATGCTGACTCAGCTCTGTATAATTTTGTAATTTTTACAAAAGTATTTACTAGTCCCTGTTAGGATGCTGTTAGGATGATTGATCTGTTGATCTGTGTGTGTGCGTGCGAACATACATGTATATCTTAGGCATGCCTGGATAGATTACATTCAAATTTCACAGATACATCATACAGAATATTATACATATGCACGCTGACTGATTATTTTCAAATTTGATGTATTCATTATACATCATGACATAGATATACAGATGTATCTGTTTGATGATCCGATTCAAAATGGCCTACCAATGGCCATTTTGTTTTAATAAATGCTGTTCCTGAGCAATATCTCGAAATATGGACTCATTTGATGATCAGATACAGGATGACTAAATAATTTAAATGTTAAAAAATCATCATCATCAAGCATCAGCTTCTGGATCCATATCTCTGATATGTTTATGTACCAACTATATTGCTATAAACAAAACTATACATCTTAAATTTGATAATTAATGGTGACTGTGCATTCAAGGCTTGTTATAATTAATTTAGCATATTCTCAGTACATTAAGAAGGTTTGCTGTAAATTTTTATTTAAAATATTTTTTTTTTACATTTGATGGTAATTTGTTTTTATTGGATGGGATTTAAATCTCTTTTATTTAAAGGGAGATGTAATATTTCTCAATTCTTTCAGTTGTAATTACCTGCAAGACTTTAGTGTTGAGTCAGGTAACTGTATGTCATACTTGGTATTTGTTCTCTCTTAGGAGTGGCAGTGTACATGGATTGGTTCTTGAGCTTATTAAAGCATCAGCTGTTTCTTTAATCGACACATTGGGAGAAAATGATTTTGTAAACATTGCATCAGTAAGTACTAAAATTTACACAATTTATGTGCCACAAATTTTTGTTCTCACCACCTTTTTATTTAATTCACTGACAATGGTTGTACCGGTAAATACATGTCTCATCTTGCTTATCTACAGCTCATGCGACTCAATATATGGCTCGTGTATCTGGTCTGCAGCTAATTTACTGAAAAATACAGCTATAACTTAAGTACTGTACTAAGAATACTTTATTTTCGCTTGGAATTTAGTTTTGCTGGTTTTGCTGAAGGGATGATTCCGTGAAAATAAAATCCAGCGAATATACTTTTTTTCCTATATTTCACAATAAACTCATCAAAAATCAGTGAAAATAAACTCCATACAAAACGCCCAAAATGCCTTTTCAACGAAAATTAATTCCAGCGAAAATAAAGTATTCCACAGTACACTCAAAAATAGTTATCCTGATATATGAATGGGAAAATTACATGTATATATCAAATACATAACATCACTAATATTTGTCAGAAAAGCAAGCATAATTACTGGTAATGTTGAGATTTATTTGAATTATACATGAAAGTTTGTTAAAAAAAAACTATTTACATGACTGAAAATAAGAGAGTGGTATAAGATGGCAATAAATATTCAGAGTGCATGTGTCTGCATTATTTAGTCTTCAGTGGTATGTATGATCACAGTTAGAGATATCATGATTGCCATTTGGAATTAAAATGAATATTGTACTTATGGTTGTCATGACGTCCTCCAAAGTGTAATTTGTCTCTGACATGCCTTACTCAACCTTGTTTAAAATTATGACAAGACATGTTGGGGCAATTTGATGTAGTCTGAAACCAAAACTTCATTTCTCAGGCCAATTTGTTAAAAGTTGGTACAAAAACAAGACATTATACACATATTGCTTGATTGCCTATTTGACAGCTGTTTCATCATGTCATTAACCATCTCAGAGGTGTGCTTTTTCCGTGATTTCTTTCAAATGTTTTAGTGATATTGCTCATAGTGGGTTACTGATGAATCTCATTTTACCTAGTAGCCATTTGACTAGTCTTCATTTATGTACCTAAAACACCAAAAACAACATTTTAACATGTCTACAGCTGTTTCTCAGACGTGTTTGATGATTTTAAATTAATAGTTCAAAATTGCTACAAAACTAAGACATGATGGTATACAAAAACATGTCAATTATTTCTTTTTATTGGCTTTTTACTGTATTGCTTCTATTTTTCTCAACTGTCATACCTGTTTCTCAGATGTTGTCTCACATTTTTTATTCCATTGGGTACAAAGACAAGATGTAACTGGCTTTAATGTCTACAAATTCTTTTTTGTTTGATGAAATTTACTTTTAATTACATCCTTCCTCTTTTGTGTTTCCATATGTCAATTCTGCCAAATTCAAATAGTGATATCATTTATATTTGACATTTAAGATGGATTGATACCTTGTTAATGACATCCCAGTGTGTGTTCAATCTCTTGGCCATTTGTCTACACTCACTATTTATGTAACTGCAAAATATTGTAAATAAGCTACCAGTTAGACCGTGAAAATACGGCTTTCTTCCTCATTGTTCATTGCTACATGCTACATGTTATATATTGAGCATGTACTCCTGCTTTGGTGACGTGCAGGAGTTCTCTATAGTGTCGTCAACTCTTGAAATTTACCCGATCTTTTTTGCATGAATCAATGCAGAATCAATGGAATTACTTTTCTAGAACTTATTGAGAGGTTACCTTTTATTTATTTCAAGCATGGAATTTATGCAAACAATAATAAATAAATCATGTTGCCATTTTTCTTATTCTACAGTTATAAATTTTGTTTATGTTTTAGATCAAATGAATGTAATGGCAAATTGTTTGTATTTTAGATCATTTTTAGATGATATTTATCTATATTTAGATGTGATGCCATTTTAATTAAAAAAGTTGCATGTTTGTGATTATTTTAAATTTTGGATGATGAAAGTCATAATTATTTACTTGAAAAAAATGATATAGAACTAATCATCATTTAGTTATAACGAGCATCTCATGCCATTTCGTCAAAATTTGTAACATTGATTTAATTATTCAATATAATTTAAAACATTTATCGTTTTTTTTTGTCATGTACGATTAGCACATATCATGCAACATCCAACACTGAATACCTGTCTGTATTAGGCTTTAAGAATATACATTATTTATGAACAGTTTAAACTAGTTTAAAGACAATTTATCTCATCTAGCATGGCAGTTCAGTGTAATTATTTATGTTATCAGTGTTTTGAATTTATCTAGTATCACCTGATCATACTTCATAACAATGTCCCTATTGCCTCATTTTATGTTTGTTAATCAAATGTTTGTTTATGATTAACAATTTAGAAAATAAACTTGTACGCTTATTAATTTCTGCTTAATAAACCATGGTTTTCCATGCAACATGATTATCTATTGGAATACAAAAAATGTTTTATTTTAGACAAAATATTTTGTACACAGCAGTTGATAACTTGTCCAAATCAGTATTTACAAATTTTAATACACTTTTGCAAAAGTTTGTGTTAAATTTGTCACCTCAATTTAAAAAAAATGAATGCCTATGAACGGACTTAAGTTACTTATTTGAATACTTGATGTAACTCAAATATTCACTTTTGAAGGTTACACCTCTTCCAGTTTATCATGATACAGTATTATATGATTTTAGATTGAATTCGCCAGAGAAAAGCAATAAAATGAAATTTATACTTGCACTGTCAATAATTCAGGAACCATTTATATGAAAACTGCTTCCCATGTGTCCACTTCATGCAAATTCAATTTATTTTGCTCCCTGAAGAAATAGCGTACAGTTTTGCCAAAGTGTATATGCTGTATTGAAGACATCTTTTGCAGAGTTATTCATTGTGGTGTTTGAAAACATGATTAAAAAAAACATGAAAGAAATCAGGTTTTAACAAATTACTTGGGAAGATGATTTTAATTTATACTGTGACAAAGGTCATGGGCGGTTATTGAGTTACATGTACTTTCGCTTTGATTAGAATTGATAGAATTCATATTGGCGATGATATGTTAATAAAAAAATACAATTAGTACACAACATTGCATAGTCAATAGATCTGTTCGGCTGTTCATGTACCGGTACTAGGAGAAATCATCTGAGAGGGAAGAGGGATGTGAAAAATATTCTGTTATATGTTAATGGCTAACCCTAACTTCTGCACTAGAATTCACGTAGATTTCTTTGATATCTTTTTATTTAATCAGCCCTTTCTGCATTTTTCTTACAATATGTTTCTTCAAATTGTACCCTGCATGTGTGGTTGTTTATCTGTACAAGTATACAGTACAGCTGTCGCATAGGCTTTGGCTTATTTGACATCAGCTTCGCTTCAGGTTCAATAAACTTTTTCAAAATTGTACATAGTATATTTATAACATTCAAACGTTTTATAATTTCCAATCATAATTAAAGCCTCATATTGGTGATAGAAAAGGAAATCTGGCCTTCACATACAATGCCACATGGTTTTAAGACTCACTAGGTTCTTTGTGTGAGAATACCAGGATTTTTGGACTCAAAAGTTCAAAGAGAATTACTTGAACATGCTCATATTGCTTTCTTTCAGATTAATTGACCATAAAATTCAAACAATATTTGATACCTTTATAAATATGTGTTTTGCACACAAATATATGCAAATTAATTAACTAATTTACACATTAATTGAATAATTGGTTGGATTTCTTGAAATGTGGGGATGCTGTATGACTATCAAATGTCTAGCAAACGTGTTTAAATTTTATTCATATCCATCATTAATTAGTTACCTGATTGACTCACTAGTCTGATTATTGAAAAAAAATGTTTTATAATGTTTTCATCATTTTTCTAACCCATTGTGTTTCATATAATAAAATGGTGAACAAATGCAAACATATCATAACTGATACTTGTTACAAATTTCAAAATGTAATTATTATGTACAATGTTTTTATTATAAACTGAGCATATTTAAAAATTTTCTTTTATTCTTCCAGTTTAATGAAAGGGCTAGATTTGTGAGCTGTTTTGAAACATTTGTGCAAGCCAATGAGAGGAATAAAAATGTAAGTACATAATCATTCATTATTGAGTTTTAATACTGTGGCTAGACATTCACAGCAATCAGCATAATACTAAATCATGCATCGACTGACAACAAGTTGTGGGCACTTTTAAAATAGATTATTTGTGTTGTTGATATCATAATTTTTTTTTGAAGGTCATGAAAGATAAAATAAGATTATTGGTAGATAATGGTATTGCCAGCTTCGACATAGGTTTCACATTTGCATTTGAACAGTTTAAGAAAGTGAGTATAAAACAAGAAATAATGCTATCTTGTAATTAACATGTGCTGTTGAATTATACATAGGTAACAGCAAGCTGAGCTTGGTTCAGTAGTTCACATGTTCATACCTCGCATAATATTTGATAAGTTGAAGGTTCAATTTTTTCCCCTGAAATCTCACTTAGCAGTATAAATTAGAGACGTTCAAACATGAATTAATAGGTTCTATTTGAGACTGGTCATCGTATCATTCAAATAAAGTAGCAGATATTTTTGTATTTAGTACATAAATGTCTGTTTTTGTCAATAAATCATTTCAAGTATCATTTTTAGTTCCCGTTTGGACGCAGTCCGAAAACGGGGACCTATGTTTTTACCTCCGTGTTTCCGGGCTATGTCCGAACCTGTATCTTAGAAATGCCTGGACCAATCCAATCAAACTTGAAACATACATCATACATAATATTATACATATGCACATCAATTTGTTTCACAATCTGATTCAAGATGGCCAAATGGCGGCCATTTTTGTTCTAAAAATCATCAAAATCAAGCATTTCTCGGCTGTTTACAGATGGATTTTGTTCAAACTTGTTATATACGTTGGACATTATAGGACCTTGATGCACATCATTTTGTTTTTCAAATAAGATTTAAAATGGCCGACTGGCGACCATTTTGTTTTAATGAATGTGGCTCTAGTGCAATAAATCTGACTTGCTATAACTGATTATGTTCAAATTTTAAATATTCATTATATATCATGTCATAGATATACAGATATATTGATTTGACAATCCTATTAAAAATGGCCGAATGGTGGCCCTATTTTGTGCTAAAAAATCATCAAAATCAAGCATTTCTTGGTTGTTTACAGAGGGATTTTGTTCAAACTTGGTATATACGTTGGACATTATAGGACCTTGATGCACATCATTTTGTTTTTCAAATAAGATTCAAAATGGCCGACTGGCGGCCATTTTGTATTAATGAATGTGGTTCTTGTGCCATATCTCTGACTTGCTATGACTGATTATGTTCAAATTTCAAATATTCATTATACATCATGTCATAGATATACAGATATATTGGTTTGATGATCCTATTAAAAATGGCCGAATGGTGGCCATTTTTGTGCAAAAAAATCATCAAATATCAAGCATTTCTGGCATTTATGAATGGATTTCGTTCAAACTTGGTACATACATTAGACATAACGAGTTCCTGATGCACGTTATTTAATTTTTTAGATCGGATTCAGAATGACTGTCTAGTGGCCATTTTGTTTTAATGAATGGGCTTCTAGAACCTTATCTCTGACATGCTTTGACTGACTATGTTC